TTTCCCTTTAGGATTTCGGGTTGTGGCGGACCATACCCCCCCCCCCCCCCCCAGCCCTTTCATCTAATTCTGGATCCCTCTGGAGTTTGTGCAGTGGGCATGACAATGCGTGAATATTGTTCACCACCCACAAGATTTTCCAAAAATGTTTCACTGTGGTACATCAAACATGCAAAACCATGTAAATAAATGGCTATTGGAAAATTAAAATTGCTAGAAATTCTGGAACAAATTAAAATTACAATATGCATATTAGTCTTAATACCTGACATTTTGCTTCTCCGTTAAATACATAATCTGCATGTTATTCTGTGACCATCTTTTCAAATATATGTTCAGAATCCAGTTGCGTTTTGATGGTAACTGGACAACACCGGTTTGTACAAGCAATGGCAATCCACTGGGGATGTCACTTCGTGACAATTAATCCATCGTTCAGGTTTCTGGAAAATATTACAGTGGCTACATCTAGGAGATTATGTTTTTCACTAGTCGAGGCTGCTCTTTAAAAGTGGGGCAGCCTTATGGAAACTCAGTTGATAAGCTGCATGGAAGCCTTGCGACTCTACCTGTGTGACTCCACTGAGCAAGGACACCGACAAGGCACTTAAGTATCTTTTATTTTCCTTTTGGCACACTTTCTGGTTCCCACATCTAACATGTGTTTCCAATACATTCCTGTTTTCTCTCAACAATGCTCTAATATCAAACACAGACAGCAGTGCAATATTGCTAACCTTTCCAACCCCTGCTAACTTCCACTCACTCTTATCTTCATTCGATCTCAAATGGCTTACCACCACAAGCACTCACAAATCAGGCAACCAGCTTGATGTACACATGCAATTGTATCGCTGACAACATTTTGGTAAAACCTTTACAAATCTATGATCATTTCCCCTGTTGAAAAAACAGCATATGCTGGTTAGGTATGTTTTGAAGCATGACTGCTGGTTTAAGGTGGTCCTTAGCTGTTCATGAGCTGGTTTAAGCTGGTTCTTAGCTGGTCATGTGCTGGTCCTAAGCAACTAGCTCCTGGCTCAAGCCAGCAGCTTTTCAACAGGGTCTTTATTACATTTAATCTACATATTACTACCTGTGTGCCACCGACCCCTCTACCAGTTACTTTTAGGCTATGCTTCCTTTCACACTCACATATTTTCG